GAATAAATTGGTTTGCTTTATCATGTTACACATTGCAGGAAGAAAATTAAATTGGACATATTTGTGTTTCATTAAACTTGTAGCTTGCTTGTGATTATACTGGACAGCTACATCTAAGATTACATGTAGCCTGATCATAGCTCCAGAGCCTGTTTTGAGGCACTGCCTTCCACTGTACCGCAGCTTTCCACTTCCACTGTACTGCAACATAAATTCACTCAGTTCCAGTGCATGAATGTATATGCCCATGTATGGCTAGTATGGTGGAATCGGTTACTCATATTCTCCTGTTTTGTAAATTCTATCAAGAGGAACAAAATCATCTTATATTACCTCTTTTGTCAAGATTTAACTCTCTGCAGTCCTAGCTTGATTTCAGACCAGAGGTCCTGCGCAAATTTCTTTTAGAAGATACTCAGAGGTCAGTGACTTATGCGGTGGCGAAATTTTGTTTCTTAGCTATTAGGAAATGTAAACTTAATTTAGCCGGAAAAACTGTATGATTTTTTTCCCTATTGCTATTTTACCAATTCTACTAATTCATTCTTTCCATCAGGGGTCGTTTCGTATGTACTGCAACATAAATTCACTCAGTTCCAGTGCATGAATGTATATGCCCATGTATGGCTAGTATGGTGGAATCGGTTACTCATATTCTCCTGTTTTGTAAATTCTATCAAGAGGAACAAAATCATCTTATATTACCTCTTTTGTCAAGATTTAACTCTCTGCAGTCCTAGCTTGATTTCAGACCAGAGGTCCTGCGCAAATTTCTTTTAGAAGATACTCAGAGGTCAGTGACTTATGCGGTGGCGAAATTTTGTTTCTTAGCTATTAGGAAACGTAAACCTAATTTAGCTGGAAAAACTGTATGATTTTTCCCCCCTATTGCTATTTTATTAATTCTACTAATTCATTCTTTCCATCGTTACTATGTTATTATTGTTATTCTCTTTCCATCCTTATTATGTTATTATTGTTTTAACCTCCTTTACATCTGAATTGTATTGTTTTACTGGCTTTTGTTGTAATAGATTACTGAAGCATGCTGATATTTTCCTGCCTGATTAGTGCTTATCTACTTCAGCTGTTCCTTTTAGGGCTGGCAACCCTAGGTGGCACCCTGGTGGGAGAACTCAGCATGTGGGGACAAGCGATTCAGTTCTGTGTCAATGCAGGATGTCACTTCTAGTGTAAGTATAAACTTACAGTGTCCCTTGTGTTCCCTTAAAATATAAAATGTGCATGTGAACTATGCATTTGCAAACAAAAAACCAGGTACAGTCATCAAGAAGCTAGGATTTGACTTCCGGTTTTGGCGGTGCAAATGGCGGTTGCACTCTCGGGACGCTCCCGGAGTCGACTCACCCACGCGTGGTTGGGGGGGGGGATCCGCACAAGCTGAGACCCTAAGGAGCCTTAGTTAAAGGCTCCGAACTGGGGGGCGTGCAGGGATAGTGCCTCTTTACCAGCCCGATTGGTCGGAAATTGAAGCTCACCCCATGCCCCAAAGGCCCCCGCCGCGGCAGTGCCCCGTACGGGGACTAGCAACGCCATCGGACTTAATAGAGTGATGAGGCGAACGAATTGTTGAAAGTGAAAGTGAATGGCTGCAAACTGTGAGTTGTCGATCGAAAGCGTGGAAAGATATAAGCGCATCTCCCCCCCTATCGAATAAGCGCTGTGGGAGGAGGGTGGAACGCCCCCCCCGATAAGACTGGGACTATAAGTAGAGTAAGGGGGGAGTGAAATTTAAAGAAGCAAAGTTACCTTTTGGGGATTTTCTTAAAGCGAAGAAAAAGGATTCTTTCCCAAGGGGGTGTGGCCTTATGACACACTTCCGGTGAGGTCAGGGGGTGTGGCATATGCTAATGAGTTATGCTAATGAGTTCCCCTAGCTCTTTTTCTACGAAACGACCCCTGTGTATCGCACAGTGCCCAGAAATACCAGTGCCATCAGGAGGTCCACCAGTGGGGCCAGGACATTAGAAGCCCTCCCACGGTCTGGTCACATTCTCCCAGCATAACCCACCTCAAAGGGGTGCTTTGAGAGTACAGTTGAGGAATGGAGACTGACGTACATTCTCCTGAGCTCCCTGGAAAAATGGCAGCGAAAAATGTGTGAAACAGATAAGTTAAGCTATTTGGTTGCTGAGTGTACTCGTCCAATTTCTGGGATTTTCTCATGGAGTGTTGCCCTAATTGCATGTCACTTGACACTTCCCTACAAAAGTGGTTTGTTATTTTGAGCTGAAGGATCAAAGGTTTGGTAAACAAACATGGCATCCACAACCCAAGTTTAACTGACTGACTCTGAATATCAATACTTCCCAATATGTTGCCATGATTTAAACTAACTTGCGTATATTGATTCTCCCTCCCTAGACTAGAAGTTTAACTGCTCCCTCTTGTCTCTCCACAAGCTCATGTTCATACTCATACACGTACACAGAAAGGTAAGAGAAAGACCCACATCTAGACTATTATTGTTGCACCCAGATTAGGTTTGCCTGACTCCAGGTGGTGGCTGGAGATCTCCTGGAATTACAACTGGTCTCCAGGTTACAGAGGTCAGGACCCCGAGAGAAAATGGCTGCTTCGGAAAGTGAGCACTATAGCATTATACTGCACTGAGGCCCCTCCCCTCCCCAAATGCTGCCGTCCGCAGGCCCTACCCCCAAAATCTCCAGGTATTTCCCAATCCAGCACTGGCAACCTTCTCTTTGAATGCATTTCCAGGGTTGAGATGTCTCCCTTTGCTAGTCAGAGCTAGATTTATACACAAGCTAAGTCAACTACATCTTGCAGAGGTCATTTCGGGGGGGATCGTGGGGGATCGCAGTTCCCCCGGGTGAGGTACAGGGGCGGGGCACATGACAAAGCCCCGCCCCCTGCTTCCGGCCACCCCGCTTCCGGCCCTCATTCAGCCAGGAGGAGGCAGGAGAAGAGGGAGGGTAAGTTGCTTCCTCCCTGCCTCTCCCCACCCCTGCCTGCCTCGGGCCAGGGAGGGCCTTCGCGGGGCTTCCTTGCACTCCCACCGGCCTTGCAGGTCCACCGCCGGGCCCCTCATGGGGCTCGGCAGTGGAGCTGCAAGGCTGGCAGCAGCGGCCGGGACCGTTGGGGGCGGGGTGTGTGGCCTTATGACACACTTCCGATGATGTCAGGGGGTGTGGCCTTATGACACACTTCCGGTGATGTCAGGGGGTGTGGCATATGCTAATGAGTTATGCTAATGAGTTCCCCTAGCTCTTTTTCTACGAAACGACCCCTGGATGTACCATTTGAAATTC